ACCGCCATGTTCATAGAAGCATAATTTATAAATAGCTAAGATCTGGAAACAGCTCAAGTGCGCATCAATAGATGAGTGGCACATTTACACCATGGACACTACGCAGCTGTAAAAAAGAAGGACCCCTTACCCTTTGGGGCAGCATGGGGGACCTGGGGAGTATTATGCTGAGTGAAATTAGCCAGGCAGAGAAAGAAAGTATCACATGATCTCACTCATATGTGGGATCTAAAGAACAAAATGAACTGATAAAATAGATCCAGTGACAAAGAAGCATGGAGCAGACTGACGAATCTCAGAGGGAAGGCAGGGGTGGGGCGTGGAGGGGAGAGGTTAATCAAAGGCTTTATATGCGTATATGCATGACCCACAGACACAGACAACAGTGTGGGGAAGGCCTGGGGCGGGGAATGGGTGTGGGGTAGGAGGGGTCAATGGGGAAAAGGGGACATCTGTAATTCTTTCAAGAATAAAGATATATTTAAAAAACAAAACAAAACAAACCCCTAGTAACCTTATTGTGAATTTTAGGGAAAGTTCAGGGACTAGAGAATCAGGGTAATGAAAATTTTGGGGAAAAAAATCTAAAACTAGGTGGGACAGACTATCCCAGGTTGAATTTTACAGATTCACTTAAAAACTCGTTTAAGTCCCTATAATCCTATAGAATATGCTGAAATATTTCTTCCTTTCATTATTCTCAAGATATTGGCTTCTCCCAGCTTCAGTTAAGGAAATGACACCTGCTGTGTTTCCTTCCTCCCAAAGCTTTTTCACCCAAATCGATTTGGATCTAACTTCCTCCTGAATACACTGGCCAGTTAATGGCCCTAAATATCATTTTGAGGAGACATGATACGTGTCAATATACATGTTACTTAGTGTAAAGCTTTTCTTATACATACAATGGAATGTTACTCACCCATGAGAAAGACAGAACTCCCGCCATTCATGACGACGTGGATGGAACGTGAGGGCATTGTGCCAAGTGAAGCAAGTCAGAGGAAGCTGAGTTCGCACGATCCCACTCAGATGTGAAACCCAAGAATCCTGGACCTGCTCAGTGAGTTGCATGGCAGTCGTCAGGGCCGGGGGTGGGGAAACGAGGAGACGCTGGTCGAGCACAAACTCGGCGGCTGGAAGAGCAGAATCCTGCAGACCTGACGCACAGCGTGGCGATCAGTCAATAGTGCTCCATCTGAAATGTCCTCACCACAGAAAAGGAATTGTAATTACGTGGCATATAGAGGTTTAGCGGATGTGACTGTGGTAATCACATCGCATTATACAGATGAATCAAAACAATACTTAAACTTATATAAAGCTCTACGTCGATAACTGGATCACAGTAAAAACAGTATTTCTGAACTACGTGCAAAGCACATGTATCAGCTTGGACTACAAGCAGCTTTCCAGCTAAAGCTCCCAACTTAATAAAACCAGGGCACAAATCAAATATTAAGTCAATCAGCAAAGAGTCAGGTGCTATTATCTATTTTGAGAGGGGGACAGGCACCCTGGGGTGCAGCCCCTCCTAGACCATATTAAGGATTTTATTTTTCCTAATGAAAGAGTTGAAGCTAGGGAATCCCAGAATCTGACTTGGGTTTTGAAAGATTACTTCACTACTGGATTGAGGACAAATTCAAGGCGATGAAGAGTGGAGCAGGATCAGGTGGGGGCAACTGTAGTCTGTGTTCTTGAATAAATAATAATCTAACATGTGAAAACACACACACACGCACAAGTCTGTCATCCGTCCATCCATCGTCATCTGCCGCTCTGCGCATTAAACACACACACCACGCACGCAGCTGTCCCGGACGCCCAGTGAGGCTCTGGGGTGCAGAGGCCCGTCCAGTCGGCTCTCACAGGCGACTGAGACTTGCATTCCTCTCCCCCATGGGCCTGAATTGTGTTTGGCCCTTGTTTATTGGGGGGCTTCCTTCTCACGGCTGGGTGCCCAGGCAGGTGCTTGTCGGGACAGTTCTGAGCCCCGGACATTTCTACCTGATGCCGTTACCCTCCCGGGCCAGAGCCGCTCCTGCGTGGCCTTGCTCAGGGCCCTGGGGTCGGCCCCTCTCACTGGTTACGTCTCTGTGCTCAACATTATCAAGATTCTGGAGGGAAACCCAACATGTAGTGGCGACCTTGGAATGTGAGCCTCACGTAGGCGAAGCCACCTGGGCTTAAGCGGCACATGGAAACTGGTGGGCTCGGGGGAGCACAAGCCCATGGTCTGGGAGCCTCCGCTTTGGTGCTTACTGAGGCTAAGCTTAATTCTGTAGCTATTTAAGTTATATTTTAACACTTCAGAAGCTTAAACAGTGCAAGGGGTTGGAAGTTCTGAGAAGCAGAGTTTCACGTGAGGATGTAGACACTGGGGTGCCAACAGGCGGTGGCCCATCCCCCCTGTTCCGGGGCAGGATGCCAAGTGTGCTGAGACCCTAATGCCCTCGGCCGTGGACCTGCCCCAGCATGCCGCACCGATGTCGGTTCTTCCTGCGTGTGGCCACGAGGGCAGCTCACACACGGCTCCAGGCTGCAGGCGAGCAGGCCAAGTTCTCATGGATCTGGCACCCTCCAGAGGACGCCTGACAGCCGGATGTCCCCACTCCCAGCCTCCAGCCCCTGCAGCCGTCGGCCGGACCTTGCAGCAGACAGCTCCCTCTAAGACGCGCCCCATGGCTTGGTTCCCTGCGCCGTCCCACAGCCCGTCTCCAGGGCAGGCGCGCTCTGCGCTCTGGGGCCAGCAGGCTCCAGCAAGAAGACTGCTCTTGGACACCTGGATCAGGAATACCTCAGGCATCCGGAAAGGTAGCCTGGGAATACACTTCTAGTGACAGCAAGTTTGACTGGCCAAGAACAGGGGAAATATTCCACGAAAAAGCAAGCGTTCCCTTTCCCACCTTCTTACCATTCCCAATAGAGCTGGGTCAGTGGCACCGTCTCCAGCCTGGTGGAGTCTCTCATCATCAGCGTCCCAAGGGTCAGCGACAGTGTCTTCCCAGCCTGCGGTTCACAGGGCATTGTTACTTTCACTGTACCATATCCTTCTCAAAGAACAAATAGATTTGTTTGCTTAACATGTTCTTCATGCTTTGTTTAAAACATTAGAATTTTGGAGCTGGGATGAATCTTATGCAAGTTTCTAAAGTGTCACTACATTTTACAAGCGAGGTGGCTGTGGGGTTAAGAAGCTCACCCGAGGCCACCGGCTGCCTCTGCTGCTCCTGCACGTGTGGGGAGGCCCACCCGCAGCCCCACAGCAGCTCAGGGCAGACACCTCCCTGGCAGGGTTTGATTTCAAGCTCTACATTTTAAATTTGGATGAGAGTGTTGGATCAGTGTTCCATTTGAGCTGAAGTATCTTTTCTTTCAGACAGCTTTTGAGAGAGTACATTAAAGGAGTCCAGGTCTTTATTGCACATGTCTCTCGGGGGGGG